AACGCAAGGGCGATATGTCACGTGAGTCTGATCGCGTTAAGCAGAAGAACATGCATGGAGGGAGGTTGTTGGTTCGCTGCGGTGACCAAAACTTAGTCCACCAGGGGCATTCTGGGAGCGTATTAAGAAAAGCAGTCAAAAAGCTGCTGGATAGAAGTAGCTTTTATAAGAGAACGAAAGAATTAGCCGGCGCTTGCGAAACGCATCCAGCCCCAATGACACAAGCGGAAAACAACGCACCGAATTCCGGCGATATCGCCGACTTGATTAATGTCCGCCGAGCGAACGCGAAACGGGCCTCCGGCAAAACAGTTGCTGCTTGGCACTGAGTCACTTTTGCGAAGCGATTCCTATCCTGACAGACGCACAGGTGCTGTCAGCGCAAAACACTCGGCAATTATACACTTCAGGCATGAGAAGATTCAGTTTTGAAAAGCAACCAAACAGGAAACGAACCAACCAAAAAAATGCACCGAAGTGTCTTCGTTAGCAGGTTCGCCACTTCGGCCGGGTACAGATGACGCGACGAATAATGGTCTCTCAAGTCGCTATATCATTTACGTAAGCACTTTTCCGCCAAGCAGAAAATTAGTTCAATACGCTTACAAATCTCAAATCGACGGGTCTCAGATGTGACAGTCGTACAAGTTCAGATCGATTTTGTCGTCGTTTAAGACACGTTTTTCACTCGTACGACGGTAACGGGAGCGTGACTGCTTCCAGTCGGAAAGCCCCACGGCCGACGACCCTAACCGGAATTTACGGCTTCGACGGGGGGTTCGGGCACCGTCCCTACCTAAAGAACACCTGCGGCATTCGTCGACCAGCGTGCCTTCGCAAGCGTGACGGGTGCGTGAAAGGTGTGACAAGGCTCTTAACAAGCCGGACGCGTTGTGGCCCATCGAAAAACTTAGGTATGACGTCGAGAAGCCGGTAAAGTGCGGCAAGATGATCACAAAAAGTGCGACTACAGCGGCCTGTAATAAAGCCACGAGAGGAAACCGTTCCGTACAACTGGTACCTAGGCGCAGGAATTAGTTGTGGTCGGATTGTGGTGGTACCCAGGCGCGTTGTGGTCGGATGAAGACCGCCTATCGTATCCCGGTGGGTTCCTACTAGAGATCGACAGCCGTACTGTAATACGGGCCGTACCCGTACCCGTATAATACGAGTACGGGTACGGTACGGGGTGGGTCCAGTACGGTACGGGTACGGTAGGGGGGGGGGGGTGCCCAGTACGGTACGGGTACGGGGGTCAATGTCGATCTCTAGTTCCTACTGGCCTTCCTTTTAGCTCACTTTGTGATGGACCCAAACATCGACCGCAAGCGCAGAGACATATTCCTAGTGTTACTAACACCTTATTCTAAAGCTACGCCTGTCCATTTAGGCCACGGCAAAGGCTTCGTTGTACGCAGGTGCCTTGAGGCTTCGCTTCATCCTTAGCACTAAGCTCTTTTCTAGCTTAATGCAGTTTTCTCACCAGCTTGCCTATTGTCTACCATCGCGTTAGGCACACTGCTTGCTCAACGTTTAAACCATTTATTTAAGACATCGAGCAAGTCGCGACGAAACCATACGTCCATTAAAACACGGTCAAGTATGGGACGAACAAAGAAAGAGAGAGTCGACGATAAAGCTGTCAATATTGCGCAGTGAAACACTGAATTGGACTCATAGGCGTACTGGTACAAACGAAAGAATTGCGTCTCAGGACGGACCAATGACGCTACAATCAACGGCAGTTTCCTTGACAGGGAAGGGGAAGAGAAGGGAAAATAATACGTCGGAACATAGGGCCGTTTCTAAAGACATTCGGGAGTACGAATTTTGCCATACACAGAGGAGAGATGGGCGCGAAATGGCACTTGAGGTATTGGGTGGCACAATTCATTATGAGTGGCTTAAGGAGAGTCGCCGACAGGAGGCGACGGCACGGGCGGCAGCAGGCCGGTGTGGACGGTGATAGTCGCGTTGCGGTTCACGCTGAACGCCGGGTAGTAGAGACCACGTGGCATGTTTCTAAAATGGCGATTGTTACATGACGTTCTGCGCTCCTCACAATTGCTCCTCACTTCAGTCAGTTGGTCATTCACTCTACAAAATTGCTCCTCTCTTCGCGAATACTCAATTATGTGGCCGAAGTTTTACGCTACTGACAGTTGCTCCTCACTCCTCCTGGTTGCTCCTCACTCCAGAACTTGCTCCTCTGTTCACAGACGCCTCTTTCTCCCAACGACTAGGCTGATCATCGCTGTCACCTCCACTAAGTGCTCCTTAACACATTACATACTCATTGCTGGATGCTCTTTATAGAGCGCTAAATCTTTCGTGCTTTTTCATGACCACTCACACCTCGAACTACCTTCGACCGCTCCTCTCAGCTATTCGTCCCCTACTCCCCACAACTCTCTTCTGCCCCAGATTACACACAGCTCCATGCTCCTCACAACTGGATCCTCCCAGTCTCCTTTAACCGACCCTCATTTTTGCTCGTCTGGACCACTGGGCCACTTCTCCTCCAATATCTGCTGCTCAAGCTAAGAACTCGAAACTTACATGAACGCGTAGCTCACGCCCTCTCCCGTGACGGGTGAGTCGTTCAGGAAGAAGGAGAGCTTTCCGACGTTGCAGTCCATGAGGATCCCGATCACGCAGCCGGCGCCGGTCATGCCGCGTCCCACGCGGCCGTGGTGCGCGTCGTTGTGCATGAACCAGGAGCGCTCCCCGTCCACGTACATGCACCAGCCGTGGATGTCCTTGCCTGAAAGTTGGAGGATCAGCATTGGGGTCGAAACGATAAGGAATCAGGGCTGTCCAAACATGAATCGGAAGCTTAATCCGAGCTCTAGGAGCTTATTCACGAGCATGGGGAAGCTTAGTCCGAGCACTCGGAAGCCAAATTCGAGCGATGGGAAGCTTTGCCCGAGCGCTAGGAAGCTTAGTCCGAGCACTCGTAAACTCAATCCGAGCACTGTGAAGCTTCGTCTACACACTCGGAAGACCAGTCCGAGCGCTGGGAAGCTTCGTCAGAACGCTAGGAAGCTTATTCCGAGCACTGAGACGCTTTGTCCGATCACTCGGAAGCTTAATCCGAGCACTAGTGAGCTTTACCCGGCCATTACGAAGCTTCGCCAGAGCACTCGGAAGTTCAGTTAGAACGCTGAGAAACTTTGTCCGAGCACTAGGAAGCTTGACCGAGCGCCCGGTATCGTGGCTCAAACGCTTCTAACGGTCTTACCGAGCATCAAGTTCCGGTTGACGGACGGCTGCGCCACGCCGACGACGATGTCCGCGTTGGCCTCGTGACGGTCCACCGTGACCTCCCAGTAGTGGACGCCCTTCGAGAAGGAGACCGTGCCGAGCACCACCTTGTACTCGAGCGTCGAGCCGGTGACGGTGGCGAAGTCGTTGCTGAGCAGGATCTCCGTCTGGGACGGCGACTTCGTGAGTTGGAACCAGGCCACTGAAAAGCACATATAGTTGCTTTGGTGATCTTAGAGCAATTCTCAGGACACTGATGAGAACACCTAACGACTGAATGTGTACCAAGGAGAAACGCAGGACTAGGTATGATAGAAGTGATGATCTATCGAGGAGGATTATGGCTGTGAGGAGTAAAGGTCGGAAACCCTACAGGTGGTACACGCGTACCGTGCCGTACTGCCGTACTATCGGTACCGAGTACGGTACGGGTGGTGAGGACAGTACGAATCACAGTACGGGCTGGGGTTGGCCAGTACCGGGTACGCACGGCTCCAATTTCTAGATATTTAGCACTAATACGGTCTGTACTGGTACCGTACCGTACATATTACGACCCGTTACTGCCATACCGCACCTTATTGTACGTACGGAATACGGTTGGGGTGGGTCAGTATGGTACGGAGTGCGGTACTCGAGCGGTTGCCCATCTGTAGTCTTGAGCATGGTGGTCACGAAAGGAGCAATTCAAAAGGACCTACGGTGTTAGGTAAGCTACTCTGGATGATAACCCTGAGGTGCGGAGTAGACAAAGGAGGAACACAGGAGCGACGGAACGGTCAGAATTGACGCTTACTTTGAGCGGTTTGCAGTCGGACCGGCTCGCTGTACGGGCTCTCGCCGGCCGAGTTGAACGCCTTCACACGAGCGTTGTACAGCGAGTCGAAGTGGAGTCCGTCGATGGTGCAGCTGTTCTGCGGGCCGCAGTAGACCTCCTGAAAGGACGTGATAAATCGTACATTTCAGTGAACTTAGGCCTTGAACTAAAGGTCGACACCCGTACCGCATTACAGACATACCGTACTTCGTACCATACAGAGTAGGGTACGGAAGGACATACAGTACCCGACACTTTGCAAGAGTACGACGGCCTGTACCGTACTGGCCGGTACGGAGTACGGCCGTGCCGCACTGGTACGGTACGGACTACGGCCATCGTACCATACTCGGTTCGAAGTACGTCACGGGCCGTACTGGCACGGTACGGAGTACGCGTACGAGGCAGGCTGGTACGGTACGGGGTACGGTCTGTACCGCACTTGTACTCCGTATTGTCCTGGTACGGAACTGAGTACGGTACGGGGGATCCAGTATTGTACGGCTCGCAGTACGCCTGCCAATCCTCACCTTGAACAGCGCGTCGTCCCTGCCGGAGTCGATCTCCAGAATGTAACCGTCCACCGCGGCACCATCGTTGGGGCAGTGCCACTCCAGCGAGACGGAGTTGTTCTCCGCGGAGCACGCGTTCGCGTCAAATTCCGGCGGAGAGGGCGCTAAAACCATCGAATTAGCTGCCTTAGTTAGGGTCACAGTCGAACTTAACGATAGAGAAATGACACGTCGGACGAATATACCAACCAAGAAACGATAGAAAATGTGATAAGATTTAGTGCGAAGACGGTTAGTGCAGTTGACCTTTAGGAGTAAGCACACTTGTTCTTAAGCCGCCCAAACCAGAACTGTGCCAGAAATCCGATTTACAAAGAACGCGACCATATGAAGCAGGAAAAAGCTTCGAGCCCCTGCGGGATTCGAACTCGCGTTTTCGGATTCGGAATCCGACGCCTTATCCACTAGGCCAAGGGGCCGTCCTGGCGTAAACAAGGTCTATCGCTCAAGTACGCAACAAACGCTGGAAACGAAAGCGTAGCGTAAACAAGGCTTGTCAGAACCGTAACCGGCTTCATGTTTGCAAATGATGAAAGACAAAGACTAGCTGTATTCAGGCGAGGTTTTTAAGCAACTTTTGCATCGATATCCCGCCAACGATGGCTTGGAACAAAATACATTTTTACACGATTTCGGGCAAAAACGCTTAATTTAATTTCGGTTTTTGACTAGCCTGGTTGTGCAGAATGCGGTCCACAAGGTTCAACTGAGTGCAAAAAGGACTGTGCTTTGCATGTGCTACAACCACGATACAGAGACGAAAGACAAAGTAGTCTGTCAAGTGCGTGTTCGATTAGTACCTCTACTGGCGTCACCGCGCATTCTACCGCCGCCGACGGACACTGAAGCGTTATGAGTTCGGTTAGTGTCACTTATTTCGAATTTTTCTGCTATAACGTTGAGAAGGCGTTAAGTTAGATGACTCTGAGCCTTGCAAGGCTTTGATGAAGTATGTTCATAGAGAATGTATGCTGGAACATCGTGTCAACTTTATCCAGAGCCCGATTTCAAAGGAAGCACGCAGGGTGTTCGGAATGGACCGTTGGACACTGGACCGTAAGGACGGGACAACGTAGCCTAAGGCATGGTGAAAACCGCTAATATCCTAAGAGACTGACTGCGACGTGGGGCGTACCTTTGAGCTGCGAGAAGTCGAGCATCTGAACGGCGTACTGCAGCGGCTTCGTGTCGAGACTGAGCACGAACTCCGCGTCCACCTCCGGCTTCGTGCGCATCTCCTTGCTCCACATGAACTCCTGGTTCGTGGCGCGAGTCGCGAGAGCGTTGCTGACCTAAAAAGGCAGTGCACTTCCATCTCGGGCATGTCCTCAATGCCTGGAGCTGTGACTGCATGAACTTGACTGTACTGAACTGTTATGAACTGAACCATTCCTTTTCGATGCTCCAGCAATTCTGGTTCACGGACTCTCAAGTTCAGTCAAGCATTAAACCTAGGTCAAAATCGGACAAAATTAACCATTGCAGTGCGTTATTTGGTCAAAGTATGCCTAAGTTTTTTATATTTCCTGTCACCGACATGTTCCGTTACCCGAATACTGCGGATACGTAATTCAATTAAACTTCCAAGGTCAGCTAAATTTTCCTGAATTGAACCAGACCCAGCTCGGTTCAAGTTCACCGGATACCCGAAAAATCCTAGTTCACCCAAGCACCGACCTGGAGGTAGCAGATGGGGTCCGGCTCCTTGAGGATCTCGATGCAGAACTGAATCAGCGCCGTGGTCTTGTTCAGGTGTCCCGCACAGCGTCCGATCTGGTCGCGCAGGACGCGCCGCTTTGCGTCCCGCTCGTTGTCGGCGAACTGCAGCAGCTTGCCGCGCTTCTCCTCCAGCATGGCGACGAGTGCGTCGATCTGCATGTTGATGCCCGCCTTGAAGTCCTCACAGTTAGCCTGAAGTGCTACGTGTTTAGGATGAGCGTCGATAAGAGGCTTACGGAAATCGTGTCCTGCGTCGTCTTGAGCCTTGAGATGTCCTCCGTCGCATGCTTCGCCTTCTCGCTGAGCAGCTGTAGCGTCTGCGAGAGGTCGCTCTAAAGAAGAAACGGTAGGTTTTTGGCACTCTTCCGGTGAATATTGACACGAAAGGTATACTACCTATTAGAGCAAGAAAAGTGAATGTTTCATGTTGAAGGGCGATAGAGCAAGCAGACGGTTCTGGTTTCCGAAGGACGAAGTAGGAGCTGGGATACGAGGACCCATGGGTATCGAAGCTCGTCATTAAAGCGAAGTATCCCTAGCCGCTGTTCATATGGACCTCACTCCAATGCTCTGCGGACCTGCCTCGTGTGCATTGCGGACTTTAATGTCATGCCAGTCATACTTCCCTGCTCAACCGTGTCGGCTTTCGTGTTACGCTCGGAACTCAGCTGTAAGCCGGTCGGATTTTGGTCACACGACACATTCTTGGCGTTAACATGTTAGCTCCCTGCGTTTTTTTCGCCGGTAACACTCTCCGACTGCGCATTGACCCCTCGTACCATCAAAGATCGCGGATTAGTCCCGCAATGTCAGCGTGAAACTTTGACCTTTCGTCTTCACTTTCCCCTGCTGTCTCGCAGACGTTCACACTAATTCGCTCGGAGTCCACTCATTCATTGCTTAAGAACACATTACGTCAACGAGGGCACTTTTCGCCGTGCGCGCGCGAGCATCTGGCCCATTCACGCGCCTGCTGCCGTCGACGACGCGCTGAAGTGCGCGGATTAGGTCGACCTCGTCGCGGAGTTACGCTCGACACTTTTACAATTGCGCCCCTGCGAAAACAATGCGTGCATATGGCGCCCTGCCGGGATGAGTTTCAGACGTCCACGAACGGAGACTTTAAGCCGATGATTCACGAGGCGATCCATCATTGCATATTTGCACTTGTGTCGGTTGCAAATCCGGCGGTAATGGCCCGTCTTAGGATGTGAGCAGGGACGTATGATGCCTTTGTTCGGATATATTTACGACGAGCTGCCTCAGAGGATAAAGGGAAGAAGATTTGTTGCACAGGGAATGCTCCTAGCTTGAGCACCGGGCATCACCGATTAAAGCCATGAGAGCTTTTGAATCAACGTTTCCGATGACAAAAATTTTTTTGCAATGAACTGAACTGCAGGTCGAAGTCAGTTCAGTTCAGGAGGTCAATTCAGTTCACCGAAAGCCAGTGATTTTGGCAGTTCACCGAAGCGCTTTCTTGAGCTGAGCCTTTCGACGACTATAAGCTCAGCCTACGGTATTTTTATCTATGAATCGTAGAATCGTGCAGCGGACTTTACGCTACTCCGATCTCTTCGTTGGCTAGCGAGTGGCCATGATTAAGCCTGAGGTTCGACGCCGTGCCGTTATATACTGCGGTGCCGTGATGTTCTCAGCCATCATGTATGCCACTGTTCCGAAAAACGGAACGGATTCAAAACAAACCGTGTGTTCTGTTACGACAAGCACGTTCTGTGCCGGTTGCAGTGCGAACACTACGGCATTTTTGAGCACATTGAACAGAAAACGGCGGAGGAATAGGTCAGAACGGAACGGAAACAGCACATTGTTCCAATGCCAGTAATTCAGCGTGGGACCCCTATAGAGGCCGGGTTACTGCCCTTCTATCGAAAACATGTACTGTTTTTTGTTTACAAAATCCGATTCCCCTAGCATCAGACATGTTCTCGAACCCGTTCGTTTGTCCATGCTTATTGTTCATGCTTGCTGACCGCCCGTTGTCCATTTTCCGCCATTCGACGCTAGCGCAGAAATCAAGATAATGAGCGGTTTTCACGCTCTAACGCCTCGCGCATGCGAGGCGCAGCAATCTGACGCGCTTCATGCGTCGCGCGCTAAGGTCAGCGCCGCCGCCGCCGCTAATAAATCGGCTGTCTCACTGCGCGCGGTGGAAGACTGAGTGATTGGCCTGCTCACAGATTGCTTATGACAACCATGCCGGTTTTGGCTGGGCCCGTCGGGCGGAAGTGCGCGGCATATGGTGCGCGTCGCCCGGCGGATAAGCATGCGCAAAATGCCACTTAGCGCCCATGTGAATTGACGCCCATGAAGCAAAAGAGGGCTTTTGTTGGGCGGAGAATGACGCTTGTTTGCCGGAAGTAGACAAGCATGCGAGGAGAATGGCATGGGTTTTGAATGGGGTGTGGAAAAGGCAACGCTCGTGAGCATAAAAATCGGTCGGACTTGGGCTACTTGGGCTGTCCATACTCTGAAGGAGTGTTCAGCAGGTCACGCTGAACTTTCTGATGATGCTTACAAGAGCTCCAGAACAGCTCACGTGGAGTTGTCCGAGCTCCAAGGAGCAACACAGAACGTTTAAATAACGCGTGTCAGAGGGCTCTCAAAGAGCCCAGGTCGAGCTCTTTGGTGCTAACGAGAGCTTCTAAGCTGTTGACCTCTCGGACGCTCCAAGGAACTGCGGAACGGATCCCTTTGAGCTGGCACAAGAACTTTCATCACGCCCACGTTGAGCTCTTTGGCGCTCTTGAGAGCTACTATCTAGGGCAACCTGTTTGATCTCTTGCGTAAGGATGACTCTTGCACGCGAACGATCCACGAAAGCATTCGAAAAGAGCTCTCAGATTTTCGTAATTAGTCGCAAGTTCTTCTCCCCTCCAAATCCGCACTTTCCCCATTCGCTCATGTGATTTCATTCTTCTCAATCCATCCTCAATTCATTCACCCATTGAACAAACTGAGAACAGGTGTCGCCCGATGGGATCCCACTCGTTGGAAGACACATCCGGGTGGGTAACATGCGGCTGCACGGGGCGCACATCCGGCCGTCGGATATCAACAAATAAATCCGCTCGTTTATCAATCCGACAGCGGAGAGGAGGCGGCAGGTTGGCGCCTGACTTAGCGGATAAGAAATCATTTCCCGGGGAAGCGGGAAAGGAGCGAGGAAGGAGATGGTTTAAACAAACAATGCAGCCGAGGATGGTTGAGACTTTGAAGCAGGAGCTGCCAGTTTAGAAAGCCGAGTTCATGCGCATGACCAGCTCTCCGCAAATTATGCACAGCTCTCGGCGTTCGTGCTGATGCAGGCCTCTCGGACGCTTGTCCGCAGGTAGAGCTCTCAGAAGCAGAATGCTCAAGTACTGCTCGATTTTTCTCATATGCTCTCGACGCTCGACGAAGGCCTGAGCCGATCTGCCAGCTCAAGCAGTCTGAGGGCCGTTCTAAGCTCTCTTAGGTTTAACTAGGCTCAATGAAGCCAAACACGCACTTCGGCACCTTAGCCGAGTTCCCCGGTTTAGTGATTCACTCCTGAGTTGCACTCCTTTTGCCGTTCATTTGTGGCTTTTTGCCAGAAACATCATGTGAATAAGGGTTCCGACTGATGATTTGCGTCTTCATCGACGAATTTTACAGCGCTATCGGATGTCACCTTTGTGGTTACGACTCTTGCCTGACC